GTACTTTTTTTTTACTTTTTATGCCATATTATACTAGTACTTTTTTTTTACTTTTTATGCCATATTATACTAGTACTTTTTTTTTACTTTTTATGCCATATTATACTAGTACTTTTTTTTTACTTTTTATGCCATATTATACTAGTACTTTTTTTTTACTTTTTATGCCATATTATACTAGTACTTTTTTTTTACTTTTTATGCCATATTATACTAGTACTTTTTTTTTACTTTTTATGCCATATTATACTAGTACTTTTTTTTTACTTTTTATGCCATATTATACTAGTACTTTTTTTTTACTTTTTATGCCATATTATACTAGTACTTTTTTTTTACTTTTTATGCCATATTATACTAGTACTTTTTTTTTACTTTTTATGCCATATTATACTAGTACTTTTTTTTTACTTTTTATGCCATATTATACTAGTACTTTTTTTTTACTTTTTATGCCATATTATACTAGTACTTTTTTTTTACTTTTTATGCCATATTATACTAGTACTTTTTTTTTACTTTTTATGCCATATTATACTAGTACTTTTTTTTTACTTTTTATGCCATATTATACTAGTACTTTTTTTTTACTTTTTATGCCATATTATACTAGTACTTTTTTTTTACTTTTTATGCCATATTATACTAGTACTTTTTTTTTACTTTTTATGCCATATTATACTAGTACTTTTTTTTTACTTTTTATGCCATATTATACTAGTACTTTTTTTTTACTTTTTATGCCATATTATACTAGTACTTTTTTTTTACTTTTTATGCCATATTATACTAGTACTTTTTTTTTACTTTTTATGCCATATTATACTAGTACTTTTTTTTTACTTTTTATGCCATATTATACTAGTACTTTTTTTTTACTTTTTATGCCATATTATACTAGTACTTTTTTTTTACTTTTTATGCCATATTATACTAGTACTTTTTTTTTACTTTTTATGCCATATTATACTAGTACTTTTTTTTTACTTTTTATGCCATATTATACTAGTACTTTTTTTTTACTTTTTATGCCATATTATACTAGTACTTTTTTTTTACTTTTTATGCCATATTATACTAGTACTTTTTTTTTACTTTTTATGCCATATTATACTATGACTATGCCTTGCTATACTATGACACTTTTTTTTACTTTTCTATGCCTTGCTATACTATGACATTTCTTTGCCTTTTTAAGCCTTACTATACTATGACATTTTTTTAAACTTTTTATGCCATATTATACTATGACATTTTTTTTACTTTTTATGCCATATTATACTATGACATTTTTATGATTTTTATGCCTTACTATACTATGACATTTTTATGACTTTTTATGCCTTACTATACTATGACGTTTTTATGACTTTTTATGCCTTACTATACTATGACGTTTTTATGACTTTTTATGCCTTACTATACTATGACATTTTTTTTACTTTTTATGCCATATTATACTATGACATTTTTTTTTAATTTTTGTACCTTGCATTTTTTTGACTTTCTATGCCTTGCTATACTATGACATTTTCTTTGACTTTTTAAGTCTCATTATACTATGACATTTTTTTTAACTTTTCTATGCCATATTATACTATGACATTTTTTTTTAATTTTTGTACCTTGCATTTTTTTGACTTTCTATGCCTTGCTATACTATGACATTTTTTTGACTTTCTATGCCTTACTATACTATGACATTTTTTTGACTTTTTAAGCCTTACTATACTATGACATTTTTATGCCTTACTGTAGTATGACGTGTATTATGCCTCACTATACTATTTTTTTTTTTACCTCTTATGCCTTCCTATACATGACATTTTTATGCCTTAATATACTACTTTGTTTTTCTGACTTATTATGCCTTACTATACTATGACATTTTTTTTACTTTCTATGCCTCGCTATACTATGACATTTTTATGACTTTTTATGCCTTACTATACTATGACATCTTTTTTGACTTTTCTATGCCTTGCTATACTATGACATTTTTATGACTTTTTAAGCCTTACTATACTATGACATTTTTTTTACTTTCTATGCCTCGCTATACTATGACATTGTTATGACTTTTTATGCCTTACTATACTATGACATTTTTTTGACTTTTTAAGTCTTACTATACTATGACATTTTTTTGACTTTTTAAGCCTTACTATACTATGACATTTTTTTCACTTTCTATGCCTCAATATACTATGACATTTTTTTGACTTTTTATGCCTTGCTATACTACGACATTTTTATGGCTTTTTATGCCTTATTATATTATATTGGTTTTATGAGATTTTTATACCTTACTACCCTACTTTGTTTTTCTGACTACTTATGCCTTAATATACTATGACATCTTTTTTACTTTCTATGCTTTACTATACTATGACATTTTTTGACTTTTCTATGCCTTACTATACTATGACTTTGTTTTTTACTTTTCTATGCCTTACTATACTATGACATTTTTTTTGACTTTTTAGGCCATATTATACTATGACATTTTTTTTTGACTTTTTAAGCCTTACTATAGTATGAGGTTTTTATGCCTTACTGTAGTATGACATTTTTTTGACTTTTCTATGCCTTACTATACTATGATATTTTAATGACTTTTTATACCTCACTATAGTAAGACATTTTTATGACTTTTTATGCCTTACTATACTATGACATTTTTATTACTTTTTAGGCGATATTATACTGTGACATTTTTTTGACTTTTTAAGCTTTACTATACTATGACGTTTTTATGCCTTACTATCGTATGACGTGTATTATGCCTTACCATACTATGACATTTTTTGACTTTATATGCCATATTATACTATGACATTTTTTTTTATTTCTTATGCCTTGCATTTTTTCCACTTTCCATGCCTTGCTATACTATGACATTTTTTTTTATTTCTTATGCCTTGCATTTTTTCCACTTTCCATGCCTTGCTATACTATGACATTTTTTTTTATTTCTTATGCCTTGCATTTTTTCCACTTTCCATGCCTTGCTATACTATGACATTTTTTTTACTTTTCTATGCCTTGCTATTTTTATGACATTTTTCTGACTTTTTAGGCCATATTATACTATGATATTTATTTTTACTTTTTAGGCCATATTATACTATGACATTTTTATGACTTTTTATACCTTACTATAATAATACATTTTTTAGACTTTTTATGCCTTACTATACTATGATTTTTTTTTTACTTTTCATGCCTTACTATACTAGGATTTTTTTTTTACTTTTCTATGCTTTACTATACTATGACATTTTGTTTGACTTTTCATGCCTTGCATTTTTTTTGACTTTCTATGCCTTGCTATACTATGACATTTTCATGACGTTTTATACGTTACTATACTATGACATTTTGTTTGACTTTTCATGCCTTGCATTTTTTTGACTTTCTATGCCTTGCTATACTATGACATTTTTTTTTACTTTTTAGGCCATATTATACTATGACTTTTTCATGACGTTTTATACGTTACTATACTATGACATTTTTATGACTTTTTATGCCTTATTATATTATATTGGTTTTATGAAGCTCTTATGCCTTACTATACTATGACATTTTTATGGCTTTTTAAGCCCTATATTACTATATTGGTTTTATGACGTTTTTATGTCTTACTATACTACTTTGTTTTTCTGACTACTTATGCCTTAATATACTATGACATTTTTTTGACTTTCTATGCCTTACTATACTATGACATTTTTATGACTTTTTATGCCTTACTATACTATGACATTTTTATGACTTTTTATGCCTTATTATATTATATTGGTTTTATGAAGCTCTTATGCCTTACTATACTATGACATTTTTATGACTTTTTATGCCTTATTATATTATATTGGTTTTATGAAGCTCTTATGCCTTACTATACTATGACGTTTTTATGCCTTACTATAGTATGATATCTATTATGCCTCACTATACTATGTTTTTTTTTACTTTGTATGCAATACTATACTATGACATTTTTTAAAACTTTTTATGCTTCACTATACTATGTCATTTTTTTCACTTTTTATGCCTTGCTTTACTATGACGTTTCTAAGCCTCACTATAGTGTGCTGTTTTTTTTAATTTTTTTATGCCTTGCTATACTATGACATTTTTTTTTACTTTTTATGCCTTACTATACTATGAGTTCTTATGCCTTACTATAGTATGACGTTTTTAAGCCCCACTATAGTATGCTGTTTTTTGTTTTTCTTTTATGCCGTAATATATGACATTTTTTAACTTTTTATGCCACACTATACTTTGAATTTTGTAAAACTTGGCCTATGTTTGCTCTGTACTCGGCGACTCACCTGAACTGTGCGCTGGCCCAAGAGGCGAGCGCAGCGCAAATCGCGTCCTTTCTGCAAGCCCCATTACCCTCTACCGCAATTTTTGTTGCTTTTCGTTAGCTGCCATTTTCTTACGTCTTGTGTGTTTATGTCTTTTTAAATGCACCTTTTATATTCGCGGTCTCATACCACAGCGGTGCTAAAGCTAAATACATGAGTGTAGCTTTGTAATGCTACTTGCGTAGTGTAGCTGTCAGTAGGGAGCGCTATCGCACCGATGCTTAACAAGTTCACTATCAATTTCACTCGTGATGTACTGTGCTGTATATGTGAATATTAGATAAGCACATGCGTGTGCATAAATGTCACAGTTGTCTCTGTGGCGCAATCGGTTAGCGCGTTCGGCTGTTAACCGAAAGGTTGGTGGTTCGAGCCCACCCAGGGACGACGCAAATTTATGCTTTCTCTTATTCGATTTCTTTAATAATTATTTTTCCTCTTTTTATTATTGAATTGTTAAATTATTCTGAACGTAGCTATCTTTACTTGTATTATCTAATCAAATCGTAACCGCGAATGGATCTACATGTCAGCACCTGCGTTCTACACACACCAGCCCTCCTCCACCTGTCCAGATGTGTCAACGGAGTACATTTTTTTTAAAAACTGGATGAGCTTGTTCCCTTCTTAAGCACGGGGCTGGGTTCATCAGATTCCTGTTTTGCCTATCTGCTGGTGAATGATAGGTAAGTCCAGATTTTATAGTTTATAAAACGATCGTTTATTTTGTTGGATGTTAAACTGTTACTATAATAGTAGTTAAAATTTGTTTTTGGCTGTATAGAAATGGCATTTCAACTTACACACGTGTATATAAGTTTTGAGCTCTAGTTTTCTTGTATGTTAAGTATGTATAGGCTCATGTTGCTGATGTAACCAGCACTGTCACTGTCAGCAGTGTCAAATAAATCGTTAAAACCCCCTGCTGAAAACACTGATGTATAACAAATACAGGTACCTGGATAGTAAATTCTAAACATGAGGAAGTAAGTTATTATCAAAGATAGGAACAAGTTTTAGCAGCATGTTGCAAGAGTTTTGTTAAGTTGGCACTAAGAGTGGTATTCACATCGGCTGGCCCATCCCAATCTGACTGACTAATTTTTCGGTCTTCTTTTCAGCAACGATGCAGATTTTTGTGAAAACACTGACGGGTAAAACAATTACCCTCGAGGTGGAGCCCAGTGACACTATCGACAATGTCAAAGCCAAAATCCAAGACAAAGAAGGTACTCTTTGTCGTTTGTTCATCATACACACTTTGTTCATTATACACACGTATAAATGAACATGTACTGTAGTCTTTCGGTTTCTAATTAAGAGCAGGACTGATTTTGTTTGTTTTGTTTGTTTGTTCTTATCACACCAAATAAAATATAGGAAGATTCCTTGACGCTCATTCAGTTATCACATGTACTAGGGATACTATTATTATATCTATTTAATATGAGAGCAGTTACGTAACGTCTTGTGTAGTGTAGTCGTGCATGAACTAAGGGTCAGCTGATATCAGCAATATTTAATCCAATAATTCCATTGACATCTAAGGGAAACCCATTATATAAGGCCTACATATATGTTTATACACACAGGAAATCTGACCTCTGCATTTAACCCATCCATGAGTAGTGAACACGCACGCGCACACACACACACACACAAGCACAAACACAACCACACACACACACACACACACACACACACACACAACACACACACACACAACCACACACACACACACACAACACACACACACACACACACACACACAACACACACACAACACACACACACCACAACACAAGCAGTGGGCAGCACCTGGGCAGCAGGGCTAGGTGTCTTTCTAAAGTTTCTAACAAGTATGAGTAATACCATGATTCACAGGCCTGACATTTGAGAGACAGCTGTAAATGTTAAATGACTGTCCATGCCTGACACAATCACCAATTCACAATTGGGACTCTTTTGTTTTGAGGTATCCCCCCTGATCAGCAGCGTCTCATCTTTGCTGGAAAGCAGCTCGAGGATGGACGCACCTTGTCGGACTACAACATCCAGAAGGGTAGGTGAAACCTCCACCGTGCTGAACTATCACTAAAATTATAAGGTACAGGTGTTGCTGTCTACAGCTTTTTCCATTGTTGATGTATCATGATTATTTGCCCTTTTCCTTCCTCCCACAGAGTCCACCCTCCACCTTGTTCTGCGTCTGAGAGGGGGCATCATTGAGCCATCCCTGAGACAGCTGGCTCAAAAGTACAACTGTGAGAAGATGGTCTGCCGCAAGTATGTATACAAACCTAGCATACTGTTATACAAGTGAGACTGAGGGTACAAGAAGGATTTGTCACGGGGAAGGACATAAAACAGGCACTGCTCATCAGTGACACATCTGTCTTGCTTTTGCATTCACACACTGTGGCAGGACAGTCTTGTGTCTTTTATGTGTAAAGTATGTGTGAGTTTATGCAAATTTTATCTTGACCCTTTCTTTTCCCTAACAGTAAGTCATGGTGGGACATGCAGTTTGTTAGTGAAATAAAATAACTTTAAATTTGGTCCAGTTTGTTATGAATTTCCCTGCTTATGTTAATGGTTGAAAAAAAATTGAAAAAAAAAAAAATTTGTTTACAGTGAGGAAGGTGTGATGGTTTTTTTCCTGCTCCTAATGGGGGCATGAAAGAATAGGTCGGAGAACTACTGTCCTAACTTAATGGTAGCACTTTAAGTTTGCTAGATAGAGTTCAAAAAGTTTGAATCTAATCAGTGGGTTATCAAGGCCCTCACTAAACCATTCAGCTATTTTGATTGTCATCTAATGAAAATATGGCTTAGAGCAGGAGAGGTAGCAAAATGTTTCATAATTGTTTTGTGTTTCTAAATGAGGAAAAAAGTTGTAGCAGTCAATCAATGCTATATTACTTTGATCTAACAGTTTTTTCCCCTCATGTCAGGTGCTACGCTCGTTTGCATCCGCGTGCCGTCAACTGTCGCAAGAAGAAGTGCGGACACACCAGCAACATCAGACCCAAGAAGAAGCTGAAGTAGAAAGCTGGAGTCAGTGATCAGTGTTGTCAATAAAACATTTTGACAAGACTGATAATAGTTCATGTCTTACAATTGGATAAATATTATGGCAGAAATAAAATTCATTAACCAGATGGTCCACACACACGGAAGACAGTGACTGTATTCTTTGCTTTTATTTCCAAACTGTCATGACAACAGCTCAAAGTTTGACACACAGAGCTGGCATGACTGTCCACAATCATCCTTAAAATACAACAGTAAGGCTTGAAAAAATTAATACAAACACAGCATTATAGACCACGTTAAACAATACAGTCTGTGTGATAGAAAGACTCAGTGAAGTAGACATTCTGGTTTTCTTTTTTTCATACAGCACAGCCACACTCACGGCCTATGCCATACAGTACTGTCCACAGCTAAAGGTAACGTGCTGAAAAAAGACAGAAGGCAGAAAATGTCTCTTAAAGTTCCTTGAATGCATCACACCAATCAGAGCGACATGTTTATTAAGATGTATCATAAATAAGTTGCTTAGTGCTGTGTTAAGAGATGAAGCACAGGACAATTACTTAGACTGGGCCAGTCAGTTAAACTTATCTGCATGACTAAGTGATGACTTGTATTTCTTATGGTTACTCATTAATTACTGTAGCGTTACTGAATCATGTATCATTTTGAAAACACTTATTTATCCTAATTTTAATTGTGTAACATAGCCTATCTACTAACATGTATTTAAGAAGTACTGTAACTTACTTTAGAATTAAACGCTTCCTACAAGCTTAAATGAGGATGTGTTAATAGACAAGCTGCTGAAAGACCTTATCAATGACTCTGCTCGTAACATTTGATCTTTGGTGTCAATATTCAGATCTACTCTTTAAATTCATGCCGCCCCCTAATATCAAATACTATTAGCATACTATTCCTTTTTTTCTTTTTACATATATTCCATTGTTTATTCCTGTGGAAAAGCACCACATAGAGCCACTCTGTCCTTCACATTATAGTTGCTACATGATGCATGGGTGACTACAACACCATACACGAGTTAATCTCTGCACAAATCAAACTTTGTTGACTCAGTAATAATTATGTCGTATGCAGGTTGTTAAACAGGCAAATCTCTTAAAAGTAATTTTGTCTTGCGCACTCTCTTATTTGCATTCACTTTTCACTGAGAATAAGTTCCTTTCCGTATATGCATCGACTCATTTTGTTGTACAGATGTTCAAATATCACCTGTCAGTTGAAAAAAACAAGGCCTCTTATCGTTCATATTGACACTGCATTGCCTTTTTTTTTTTTATACAAAAGTCATAATTATGAAAAACTACAAGCACCAGTTCTCAATATTAAATGTCTAGCACTGTTAAGCACTTACCTTAAAGTTGGTTTATTGCATTGAATGTTACCCTTGAAAGCAACATGAAGCGTAACATTAGATTGGACAAGCAATACCATGTATATGATGCTGCTTAGGCCAACACCTACAGTATGATGTTGAGTACAGCACAGCCACTGCTGCAACACACACATGGAGTAACCTTCCTGCGGCCGAGGTGGTTCTTGTGCTTGAGGAGGACAGGGACCAGCTCCATCGTGTTTTGTTTACTGGCTGCTGCCGTGGCCACAACAACCTCAACCCTGTCTCCCGCTCCAGCTCTCTCGTGGATTGTGTTTTTCCTTCTTACTTGTCGATGAGTTTGACCAGGCTCTGGCGAAGGTCATTAAGGTCAAAGATCTTGATGTCCAGAATTTCAATTGCCCTCTGGATTTCATTGTCCATGCGATCCCGTTCCTCCAGAGAGTTACTCAGGTTCTGCTCTGTGTTCTGGATGCGCCGCTCCAAGTCTGAATTACGCATCTCCATCTCCTGCAGAGAAGGAGAATAGAAGGGGGATGCCAAGCAAGGAAAATTGTAAAAACTTAATTTAACTACTAATTGTTTAACTGTTACTCAATAAATGTGTTCATGTCACATGTAATAATCACACTCCTACCCGCAATCTGTGTATGGCCTCATCTCTATCGTGTTCCATTTCATGATACTCTGCTTTCTTGCTTTGCAAAATGTGGATCTCCTGGAAAAGAATGAAAGGTTCGTATGAGTTTGAGTAGCTGCATCATTCACCCGACACCTGTGACAAACATTGCAGCTTTTCACCTCTGACATCAGCTGATGAGAAAATGGAACAATGAAGTACCAACCTCATCTTTGGCCTTCAGCAGGGCCTCCAGCTCCTCCAGAGACTGGGTCAGCTCATCCTTCAGCAGGTCACTGGGGCCATGGCCTCCATGTGCCTCCAATTCAGCCACCTTATAACACAC